GGGAAATCTGGGGCTCAATTGCGGTCCGTAAGTTGAGGATGGGAGACTATTCCACCATTGTGCTGCTTTCTGACTGTCCCCCTCCCCAGGGTGGTGTGGAAACATGAAGAGAATTCTGGGAATTGGCATTAAACTAGTTTGATCCGTGTACTAAATGCAAATTTAGAGGTTTTTTTTTCAATCCTCTAATTAGAAGAAGAAGGACGCGGTCGCTCAGGGGCTAAGACACTGAGCTTTGTCGATCAGAAAAGGTCAGCAGTTTGGCAGTTCGAATCCCCATTGCCGCGTAACAGAGTGAGCTCCCATTCCTTGTCCCAGCTTCTGCCAACCTAGCAGTTCGAAAGCCCGTAAAAAATGCGAGTAGAAAAATAGGAACCACCTTTGGTGGGAAGGGAACAGCGTCCTGTGCGGCTTCGGGAGTTGAGTCATGCCGGCCACATGACCCCAGAGACGTCTTCGGACAGCGCTGGCTCTTCGGCTTTGAAACGGAGACGAGCACCGCCCCCTAGAGTCGGGAACGACTAGCACGTATGTGCGAGGGGAAGCTTTACCTTTAATTAGAACATGCTTCCTTTGTCTTGCGAGGGAGTTTGTGGAGGAAAAGCTACTCCAAAAGTACTTTTTCAAATTGTGCGTTAAAACAAGTGTGTGTGTGTGTGTGTTTACCTTCACCACTGAGCACAACGGAAGGGACTTGGTTGCAGGAACACGGCCCATGCGATGTTTCCGTAAATTGTGAGTCAAACAGCGTTACCTGCGGAGGCAGGGATTTCATTTAGCTTCGCGGAACGACCGTGAAGTTTTCAAGATATATGCTACTGTCTTTGGAGGCTCCACAATGGGCCTAGCTAACAACTGAACACAGGATCTATTCTTATAGCCCTAGGAATAGCATTTAAGACTTATATACCTCTTTAGCCTGCATGCCATATAAATATCTCCCAAAAGTGGCGCTGTGCAAGGAAAGGCTCTGGGCACAGAGTTTCTGAGATTCACGGACAGATCTTCACACTCCTGAAACAAATCTAANGATAGATAGATAGATAGATAGATAGATGATAGATAGATATAGAATAAAATAGATATAGATAGAAAGATAAGTTAATAAATAGAAGAGAGAGAGAGAAAAAATAGATATAGATAGATAGGCAGGCAGGTAGGTATGTAGATAGATATAGATAGAAATAGAAAATAGATGGAGGGAGGGAGGGAGGGAGGGAGAGAGAGAGAGAATTGTAAATGAAATGCCAGTATGTGGTTATGTATTAAATTTATATTTTAAGATGAAGGACATCTAAACAATGATAGCCAAATAAAACTGGAGGTAAGATGATGGTAACGTATATAAACATTGGAGTTAAAATACTTGGAGTTAATATGAACTATACTTGATGACGGTGGAAGAGATGCACAAAAGCTTTTTGTAACCAACTGAAACACCTTCTACAGCATGTAAAGAAAGAAGATTTTATGGGTCATGTTTGTTTTGAAAATTAAAAATAAAAACTTATTTATATTTTTTAAAAAGGAGCGAAAGGGGAGTGGAGTTTGCAGGAGACCATGAGTTCGTTTAATGGGTTCGGGACTCTCCGAGACTCCTGGCCAAGTGTTGCAGATATCAGCCTGGCAGCTCTCCAAGCCAGATAAGGTCTGTGACCGTAAATCCTCCCTTGAAAGACTGGGCTGGATGGGAATGAGCAGAATTCACAGTCAGTCAATAAAAGGGGTTTTTGTCGGGACAAGGAGTCGGCTTCAGGCTCTCGGGAAGCCTCGGTCAGATCAGAATCTCTGCGAGTCGAAAACAAACTGGCCCTTTTGGGCGACTCACCACGTGGAGAATGTCAACCGAAAAAATTTGGATGCAACACATGATGGCAGAGAGCGTGCACACTACAATGGAGAAGATGGTTAAGCCACAGATGCTGAACAGCAGGTCCTACGGAGAACAAAAGGAGAAGCTGTCAGAAAGGAGGAACGGAGGAAAGGAAGAAGAGAGGATGTCAGGTTTCCAAAAAACGCCCTAATTGATTCATGAGTCTCAGGCCAAACTTCAAAAGAAAATTCTTTTGGCAGTCAGATCTGAGCCTCGTTTGAATTATCGCTGAACTTTATCCCCGTTCCTTCCCGCCCTTCAGTCTGTGTCATAAATCACATTTCCCAATGAGTTGCACTCCTCCCAAGTCTGTGGCAGGCAATCTGAGATCCGACTTCAGGAGAAAGTATGTGTGGAATGCTCCCCCCCCCCCCCGGCTTTCCTCACTATGGCAACTTTAGGAGTTGACAGAGGAAGCACATTTTAGCTAAGTTCTGGAGAAATCCCACACAAGGCGAAATAATAATAACAATATCCCAATATCTGGAGCACCACTTGGATGCCGTCGGCATTGACAAAAACCCCATCGGTCAATTGCAACAGGCAGCTTAAATCCTCCGAGACCTCCAACCCCATCCAACAATTCACATCTGCCTTGGGAAAGGCTTGACAGGTGGGTGAAATTGCCGAATCCAGCCTAAACATCTGGATGACTGTGTGGAAGGCCGTAACTGTATAACCCGTTGGTCAATTGCGAACGGCGGTTTGATTGGGGGCGGCTTAAATCCTGCCCGGAGACCTGTAATGGTGTCAAATAACCACATCTGTCTACCCCAGGACTTTTGGGAGGACTCCAAAGCCAAAGTTAAAACACCTGGCTGTGGGAGGAACCCATAATGACAACAATTGAAAACTCTCGGCATTGACAAAAATCCCCGTCGGTCAATTGCAAACAACAGCTTAACTTGAGACAGCTTAAATCCGGCGATGATACTTTTAATGTTAATAAGCCACCACATCTGTCGATCCAAGGACTTCACGGGAGCGTTTTAAAAATGCCAAATCCAGCATCTGGCTGGCATTGTAACGAACCCTAATAATGCAAAAGAATAATGGGAAATCTGGAGAGGTTCTGTTTGTCTATCTCGGCAAATTCTGTCCCTTTCAACCGGCTATTTCTCCACGGTGGATGGCGTGAAATCTTTTCCCCCACCACTCACTTTCAAGACCAGAAGAATCCTGGAACAATTCGAATCCACATCGCCTTTGTTGCCACAGGCAGGAATCCCCGATTCGGACGGTGAGTAGATGCATTTCTTATACAGAAAACTAGCCTGCAAATAAAGAGACCGGAGCATTGCATCGGAAAGCACGCTGGTTGGGGAATTCTGGGANTTTCTTTCTTTCATTTATTCATTCATTCATTTCTCCTTTCTCTCTTCCTTCCTTCCTTGCTCACCTTCATTCCTCTTCTTTTCCCCTATTTCTTTCTTTCATTCTTTCATTTTTCTTTTTTCTTCCTTCTTTGCTTATTCCCCTTCCTTCCTCTTCTTCTTCACTATTTCTTTCTTTCTTTCATTTAATCATTCATTTCTCCTTTCTCTCTTCCTTCCTTCCTTGCTCACCCTCCTTCCTTCCTTGCTCACCCTCCTTCCTCTTCTTCTTCCCTATTTCTTTCATTCTTTCATTCTTCTTTTTTCTTCCTTCTTTGCTCATTCTCCTTCCTTCCTCTTCTTCTTCTTCTTCACTATTTCTTTCTTTCATTTATTCATTCATTAATTTCTCCTTTCTTTCTCTCTTCCTTCCTTCCTCTCTTGCTCACCTTCCTTCCTCTTCTTCTTCCCTATTTCTTTCTTTCATTCATTCATTCTTTTTTTCCTTCCTTGCTTACTCTCCTTCCTTCCTTCTCTTCTTCTTCCCTATTTCTTACTTTCTTTTTTCATTCCTTCCTTCCTTCCTCGTTCACTCTCCTTTCTTCCTTCCTCTTCTTATTCCCTATTTCTTTTTTTCTTTCTTTCATTTATTAATTCATTCATTTCTTCTCCCCCCCCTCTCTTTCTTTCTTTCCTCTTCTTACATTTTCTTTCTCTTCAAATTGAGCTCTCTCTGCCCGCAAAATTTCCCCGATCCTCTTACAGGGCCTGGAATATTTTTTCCCCTGTTGTTGATCCCAAATGTATTTTACACGCCCTGCAATCCATATTTTTAGCCCATTTCACCTCTGAGCATCCGTTTCGGAACTGCAGGTATATTCCGGGGGGTAGTAAGGAGGAGGTGGAACGGGGGGCACAAACTCATCCAGATCCAGCATGTGTTGTAAGTAAGTGTCCGGAGGGGAAGTACAGTCCAGCGTGACGGAACTCGACCGAGGTGGAGAAAGCTGAAAAATGGAAAGAAAACCGGATAAATAAATATGAAACTCGGCAGGAAACAGTGAGAAAGAAAGAAAGAAAAAATCAGGAGGATTGGAAAATTTTGTTACTAAATATTATGGATGTTTAGCTAGAATAGGATATAAGGACTCAGTAAGATAGATATTAGAGATGATAGATAGATCAATGATAGATAGATAGATGATAGATAGATAGATAGATA